TTATTTGTTTCCTAAAGAAAATTGCATTAATGAGAGAGATTTGTTGATTTGGCTAATGTAGGCGGTTTCTGCGGTTCGTGGCGGCTTAGTGTGAGGTGGGACGAGGTACCAACAAAAACCATGGGAGGTGGGACGAAAAAAAATCTGGGAGGTGGGAGTTGTCCCTGGTTAACCTACGAAATTTCGTAGATTTTTTTAGGACGAAAATAAACCGTGGGAGGTGGGACTAAAAAAAACCTAGAAGCGAGACTACCAACTGCTCCCTTAGGAGTAGAGATATAGGCATCCACATTCGATCGGAACCGACTCACAAGCAAACATAGTTGGTACGGACTCTCTCTCTCCTATTCAAACTAAGCTAGATTTACCTAATTAAATATCTAGCCACCTTGATCACCTAGGAAACTATTTGACAACGTCACTAGTATACTAGACAAAAAGAAATATACTTGACTCATGTAACATGATACACTATGTTCACAGTAGGTTGCCAAACCGAATCAAAATTGACTGGTATATTTCCTACCATAATGTGTCAACACATGGAGTTCTGAAGGTTGGCTTAACTTCATCTTTCTTCGGTTCAGTTGGTGGAATCTCAAAGCTAAAAGAGCCAACTTGTAACACATTCGGAAGATTATCTCTTGCACTAACGGCCACATCAAGTGAAGTCCATAACTCACAGTACCTTTGAGATGGCGCGTTATCCTTTGTTGAGCATGCCAATGAGCATCTCCCAGGTTAGATACAAACCGGCTTAGGTTGCTCACAACAAACGAGATGTCAGGCCTCATAGCGCTAGCTATATACATAAGCGAGCTGATGATTTGAGAATATCTCAATTGATCCTTTGTTTCTCCTTCATTCTTTCGAATCAACACACTTGAATCTTAAGGTGTTCCAGAAGGTTTACAATCTGAATATCCAAAGAGACCCAGAACCTTCTCCACATAGTGGGACTGTAACAAAGTGATCCCACCATCATCACCTCTCAAAAGCTTGATGTTCAATGTAACATCAGCTACTCCAGGTCTTACATCTCAAAGTTATGAGATAGAAAATATTTCACTTCCTCAGTGACCTTGAAATTTGTCCCAATATAAGTATGTCATCAACATACAAACACAACATAACTCCCTCGCCCCCACCATGGCGATAGTACAAACGTTTGTCGGCTTCATTTGCACCAAGGTCTTTCAAACTTCTCGTGCCATTGCTTAGGTGCTTGTTTCAAGCCATACAAAGATTTCGCCAACTTACACACCTCTCCTTCATGACCATCTACTACAAACCATCAGGCTGTTCCATTTATATTTCCTCTTCCAACTCTCCATTTAGGAAAACTGTTTTGTCCATTTGATGAACGAGAAGATTGTGTGAGGCAGCCAATGAGAGTAGTACTCGAATGGTCGTCAATTTGGCCACATGCTCATAAGTATCAAAGAAATCTTCACCTTCTTTTTTGGAGATTTCGCCAACTTACACACCTCTCCTTCATGACCATCTACTACAAACCATCAGGCTGTTCCATTTATATTTCCTCTTCCAACTCTCCATTTAGGAAAACTGTCTTGTCCATTTGATGAACAATTAGATTGTGTGAGGCAGCCAATGAGAGTAGTACTCGAATGGTGGTCAATTTGGCCACATGCTCATAAGTATCAAAGAAATCTTCACCTTCTTTTTTGGTTAACCCTTGGCTATAAGTCGTGCCTTGTACTTTTCAATTGTACCATCAGGCCTAAACTTTTTCTTAAGCATCCAATTACATCCTACAGGTTTACACCAATAAGGACGATCAGTGACCTCCCATGTCCCGTTAGGCATGACGGAATCCCTTTCGCTACATAGAACTTCTTTTCAGTATTCAACATTAAGAGATGCATAAGCTTTTGAAATAGAAGTGGGAGTGTCATTCATGAGGTACACAATGAAATCTCCACCAAATGACTTTGCGGTCCTTTGTCTGTTGCTCTTTCTAGGAGCTTCATTGTCATCCTCCTTAGGAATCTCAGTGTGTTTCCGCTTAGAATGTTCCAATGGAACAAAACGTTTAGGAGTTGCCTCTAACCTCTGACTAGATGAGCTACACATATCTTTTATAGGAAAATATCCTCAAAGAAGCCTGCATCATTCGACTCCATAATTGTACCAACATTCATGTTAGGGAATCTCAGATTTGACCACTAAAAATATGTAGCCAATGCTATGGAAAGCATAGCCCAGAAAAACACAATCAACGGCTTTGGTCCAAGTTGATGCTTGGGAATCGGCACGTTGATTTTTGCCAAGCAACCTCAAGTTCATAAATAAAAGAGTTCAAGCCTTTTCCTTTTGCATTCCTCAAATGGGGTAATCTCTTTATTCATTGTGGGAACTCTGTTTAGGACATG